AAGAATATACTCCTTCTGAGCCATCGGAACCTCACGGAGCTCCATCCCTTCCAGTGCCTCAGGCTGAAACGGATGAGCCTATGCCTGCTGTACCTCCCGTACTACCACGTCCAGCTGATCTACCAGCAGTGCCCAGCTCTCCTGGAGCACTATCAAGATCTGATCAGCCTGAACCCTCGATAGAGCCTGAACCGCCGACAGTGCCTCCGACTCCCGTTCATCTTGATCTGGTCACTTCAGATGCCTACAGGGCACCGACGGCTCCAGAAACATTCCAACAGGAGAGGCTTCGACTGGACAAGCAGGAGACTCTTTCCTTTGGCCCTCAGAGAACCCGACATCACATTGAGCATACTCCGTACGACAAGCCGACCACTGAGTCCAGCGAGATGGTGTTTGAGGTCCAAGATCTTGATCAAGACAGCCTTCCACGAGGCTGGACCTTCAATAAGAACAACCACACGTTGGAGCTCAAGCACAAGATAGCTGACTTCTGGGAGATCACTGGAGGATGCCTCATCCGTCACCATGTACGACCTCGCTCAAAGAAGTTTGTACCAAGTGACAATGCCGACCTTCCTGTACCTATGGAACACTTGGACGATGTCCGGGTCACCGTCTTCCGTGAGCCAGGCTGTGACTCCTCATCTGTCACCGACCACTTCAAGACCGAGAATGTGTTCTCCAAGAACTCCAAGGAGATGCCAAGGAGACTTCCTGCCAAATGGATCGGGTGCACGATCTTCCAGATTAGCGCCACCACACGAAAAGAACTTGGCATGACAGCCACTATGTCATCAAGCTCAACGTCGTCCTTGCGGCCCATTCGCAAAGCAGCTCAGCATGTGAAAACACAACAGCTCCGACTCATGAAGAAGGAGAAGAACAAGTCGGAAGTGCGAGAAAAAGCACTGACCCAAGCTGAGCAGCAACTTTTCTATGAGGCAAAATGCAAGGCACTTCGAAGCTTCTTTGAGTGTGGCGTCTGGGAGTTCACTACATCGGACCAAGCCGATGCTCAACGTACCCTGTCAAGCAGGATGCTTCTCAAGTGGGCCAAGAATCCCGACGGCGCTCCTCGAGCCAAGGCCCGACTGGTAGTCCGTGGCTACAACGATGCCGATGCCCTCGCTGGAAACCTGGACACCCAATCTCCAACGCCATCCAGATTGGCTCGAAGCTTGCTGCTCTCCATCTCCTCGATGCTCAAATGGCATGGATAGTCAGCTGACGTGGCGACAGCCTTCCTACAAGGCATGCCACAAACAAGGCGACTATGGCTTCGTTTGCCAAACGACTGCCTGCAGATCCTTGGCTGCGGACCTGAAACCCGCATGGCCTTGATCAAACCCGTCTATGGACAACTTGATGCACCCCGTCGATGGTGGCAAGAAGCAACCAGAAGATTGACCCAAGAAGGTTGGATACCCCATGAATTGGACCCATGTCTTTTTGCACTTCACCACACCTTGGACGACGGCTCAACAGTCCCCTGTGGCCTCATCGCCTTGCACGTTGACGACATGTTAGGAGCTGGAGATCGAAGCTGCCCAACATATGTTGCAGCAGAACGTCGCTTGAAAGAAGTTTTTGATTTTCGAAGTTGGCAAGAAGATAGTGAAACCATGGAGTACTGCGGTGTACTGCACGACCGCAAGGACTTTTGTTGGACATGGTCACAACGCCACTTCATCCAGAAGGTCAAACCAGTCACCATCCACAGAGGAAGGTCTCCAGAGGACCTCATGACAGAGCCCGACCGTGCTCAGCTCAGAGCTTTACTTGGAAGTTTGCAATGGCCATCTGTCCAGTCACAACCTCACTTGCAGGCTAGCTGCAGCCTCATCAGTGGACAACAACGAACTGGAAAACTGAAGGCCATCATGGAAGCGAACGCCCTGCTGAAGTTTGCAAAAGAACATGCAGATGTTTCCCTGAGGTATGAACCTTTTCAGTCCATCCATGGCTACTCCGACCTCACGAAGCTTCGCCTGGTGATCATGTTTGATGCATCTCATGCTGCCCGTGAAGACCATTCATCGCAGTGTGGACACCTGGCGATCCTCGTGCCAGAGGAAACTTTCCAGCAGGAAACTCCGTATCACGTGGTGGACTGGCGCAGCTACAAACTTCCAAGAATTGCCCGCTCTAGCCTCAGTGCAGAGGCACGGGCAGCTGGAGGTGCAAGTGACACTGCAGAATACATCTGCAGGTTTTGGTCGATCATCTTCAACCCATGGCAGAAACTACGTGATCGACTGCAAGAAGGCTCGCCGCTGAACCCAACATTGGTCACACTGATGCTAAAGCTCTCTACGAAGCTTGGCACAAAGAGACAGCCACTTCAGCGAGCTCTTCAGTGGATAAACGCACCTACTTGGAGATCAAGGTCGCCAAGCAGCAAACCTCCGAACTCGGAGGATGCCTGAAATGGGTCAGCAGTGAAAGACGGTTTGCAGACGGCCTGAAAAAGGGTCGACCAGAGGACTACTTGCTGACCGCCTGAGACGACACCAAATCAAGTTGGCCTGGGATCCATCGTATACCTCGGCCAAGAAGAAAAGCAAGCAAGAAAGAGGGAAAAGCCGGCAAGAATTTGCCGATCCAAAAATGAAGAGGAAGCCCACTGGAAAACAACCACTTCAACCAGAACAACCACCTAACTTCACCCCACAACTAGAGAGTGTGCATGAGGAGCCCTATGAGATGGACGAGCATGACCAGTTGTTGAACCCCAACGAGAACTTCAAAAGGCCCTGGCCTAGCTCTTCGACCTTGAAGACACCTATGGCTATGCTGGTCTACTTCACTCAGCTCAAAGCGGTTACGGCCGAGTTCTCGGGTGTCCACACGCCGCTGGTCTCGGAGGAAGTTTGCCTCCGTGATGATGACCCGACCTCCGAAGATTGGTCAATCCTGACCTATGTGTCCATCTTCATCATGTTCACCATCCTCCTTGTGAGCTACCTGTCCTACAAGTTTGGAAGGAAGGTGGAGAAGAGAAGGCAGGTGAAAGATTTAGATGTGAAGTTGAGGGTGGCACACGGTCGAAACCAAAGGCACTTCGATGCAGCCTTGGATAAGCAAAACCTTGCTCTCGACCGCCGAATGTCCCAGGTAGAGAATGACTTGGTGAAGGCCGCCGAAGAACATGCCACGACTCGTCGAAATCACAACGAGATGATGGCACAATGGCAGATCGAACAACAAGAAGCTGAAGATATAGATCAAGCCTTCCAACAGTGTCAAGCCCTTCTGTCGCGATGCTACCGCGAACTGCAGGATCACTTTGATGAGGAATGTCCCATTGAGATGGGCGCCTATGTGGCACCTTTTGGCCACACATGGCACATGACACGCGAGTGTCATGGCTTGAAACAGGCCCACCGAGTCGACCACCGTCCTTGTTGCCACTTCTGCACTCCAGCACCTCGTACACCCTTTAAGGTGAACGGTCTGAGCGGAACCACTTTGTGGGAAGACATGGAGTCATGGCGACGCCAATGGGGCTATCGCTCCTATGAAGAGTGGATGGTGGATTATTTTTTTTTACAACTTTTCACCGGTGTGAGTTTGAAAACCGAAACTCGACCCACTTCGTTTGCATTCAGTATGCATTTGATGTACTGTGGCCATTCCGGCCCAATCTCCATTTCATCCACCTAAGTGGTGGGACTTCGATCGACAGCCGATGGCGCAAAACAGGTGACCGACCTTGAGAGCGATCACCAACCGTTCGACTCGTGAAACCTCGTTTGTTCACGAAGCTACTTGGTCACTACAAGCTACCAAGTAACAAGGGAATACATATATACAACTGATCATTGGAATTTAGCAGGTGTTCACCAGGACGAGGCTTGGAAAGTCAAAAAAGTCTTGCGTAAGACACAACATGTGGCTTAAAAAAACGTTAGCTTTGGCTTTGTGCGTTTTCAAAAGGAGGACCGGGCTTTTTGATGGGACATGCCTTCTGGAAAGGAACGCGTGTATGAATGATGGCACTTAGTCACTTGTTGGTTTAGCGAAGCCTCTGGCAACGGAGGACTTGGGATATGGAGTTTAACAAGAGATGAGATCCTTGTAAAGGGGAAGACTTTGAGAAAGGAGGAGATTTGGACAAAACAGAGGCTTGCGTTGTCATTGCAACAGGACCTTTCAAAAGCATGTTTGCAAAGAATGTACCTAAGCTGGTGGTGCAAGGATCTACTCAATCTATTCATGCTCATACTTCGAAGATGCTAGAGTTAGCTGGGGCAGAAGGCAAAACCACAAAATCAATGAACCCAAACAACAAACTCTCGGTCCGAGGCTGGATTTCTTTTTATTTTATAATATTATTTATTGCTTAACTTATGTGGTTTCTTTGGGCTCTCTTGCCTTTGTATCGCTCTTTTGGTTGATTCCCGAAGCGTGGTCTTAGTGAACGGTTTCTTTTTAACTCAGGCGGTCTGGGGGTGAGGTCTTGTTCGAACAACAAACATGTTGGAGACTTCACGTGCCCCTAAATGGTGAATTTTGACGTGCCACGGCTTGCCACGCCTCTTCCTGCCTCACTTTTAGAGAAGTCTCGCGCAAGAGTGCTCCGCAAGAGTGTCGAAAACAGATCTTTCGAGCAGGAGCGTCACACAAGACCCACCCAAAGGTGTGCTACAAAAGTGCCACAGATCTTACGAGTGTTGAGTACGAGTGTCCTACAAGAAAGTCAGGCAAGAGAGTCCCACAAAAGTGTCCTAGAAGACCCGTGAGCCTGTGGACAAAGGGTGTCAGGGTGTCCTTAAAGTGTTTTGAGATTCTCGAGCGGTTTCTCATTCGGGTTTGGGTTCACTATTTAGCCGCTGTAAACGTATTCTTAGTATTCTTCTCAGAATCTCTCTTGCCAGAACATGCTGTCTTTTTCAGTCCACTTTTGTCCGATTTGCACCCAAAAAGACGCTCTCTCACTCGGACGATCGCCACCGTGGGTTCAAACCCACGCCGGCGCTCGCTCTCCTCGCGCCGAGGCCCCGCATCGCCACCGTGGAGTTCGCCACCAGCTGCTACGCCGAGAGCTTGGGACCCGAGCTGATGCTCGGCCACCGCGGCGGTTCGGTGACGGGGACCCGTGGGTGGAGGATGGACGGGGCTACTTAGGGGTCGGACTGGGTGGAGGATGAACACAGAGATGGTGTTCGTTTCGCCGACTTGGCATAGACTTGGCGTAGACATTGGGGGATTTGCTTGGAACGTCAATTCAGTAAAAAGAAGAAGATGCCAGAAATCCTGCCCAATTTCACTGTACAAGTACTAAGAATAGAATCCGCTTGGAACATGCGTTGGAAACGAACATGTAAGCCGCCAAAATCGTCTGCCCGCCACGCGGACCGGCAAATCCGCGAAAGCCAAGGAAACTGGCCGGACCGGCCATGTATTACTTGTTGAATCCTTTGGGCGCCATGGCGGGCGTCTTCATTATTTGTGCTTTCGCGGTCTACTGCTTGATCCCCTGCGCCAACAAGGGAGGCATGTTGTTCAATCCACGTGCCCAGAGAATGAAGGCCAAGAAGAAGGCTGGGATGGTATCAATGTGCGTGTGGGTCTCGGAAAGCTCCAAATCTGGCTGTTGGGCTGTTCCTAGGGTCCTAGGGATTCGGCTACTGCAACGACACGAACAAAGACGGTTCTCGGCCTGCTGAATGTTTCAGATGAGCTAAGCGATGTCAGAATATGAATGTTTCAGATGAGCTAAGCGATGTCAGAATAATTCATGTTAGCCCTCTACCAGGTCTACAATCTTATCCCACCCATGGCAGCTGCTTGGTGGTTTGCCAGCTGTCCGGTGGTGGATGACTATATAACCGCATATAACCCGTATAACCGCTATCCAATCTATCAAATGCCTTGGTGGAATGCTATGAGGCCGTTGAGAAGCTGGAACCGGTGCTCAGTCCGCTCTTGGATGACCTGGGACTCACCTGGGTGGATCTTGAGGCGGCCCCGGAGATGTTTTGGCTGAATCGCCCAGAGAGAGAGAGAGAGAGAGGGAGGGAGGGAGGTAGGGAGGGAGGGGGGAAGGAAAGGAGGAAGCTAGGCAAGGCCCAGGGCCATATTTTTGAGTGATCGGTGCTCGAACATTGTGAGCCTGCAGGTTGGTGCTCAAAAGGACCAATGTTTTTCAGGGGCCGATGTTCCACTTCCCTGATTGTTTCAGGAGTGCGTCTCGTGGTTGGCAGATGGCTTGAGATAGGGAGACCTTTGGGAGATGTATTAGAGAGGCGGCAAAGGAGGAAAAGACGTGCTTTTCAAGCCAGTGCTTGCAGGGACTCACTATTCACAGTCATACGCCCAAGGCTTCAAGGATTCAAGGATCAGAAAAATATGGCCATCGCCGTTCCATCAACGTTGTGTCTTCAGCATCACTGCAGGCAGCCAACCTTTGGAGCAACTCAAGCCTTGAGAGCATCGAGAATGCCAGCGAAGACCCTGACAGCTTCATTTCAGGCCAATTGGATCCGATTTGCTCCTAATAGCGTCCTTGCTACTAGTAGCGATGCCAGGAGCCCTAGTAGCTTCTTGTTCCTAGTAACGATGCCCTTTGCTCCTAGTAGCTTCTTGTTAGGAGTAGCACCATACGCATTCCAAATAGTGTGCCCCTTGCCAATGCAGAAAACGCGTTTCTGAAACCTTGATTCAAGGATGCTAAGTGCTGCCTGATATGTGGGACATATGATGGTCTCTTGAAACACAAAGGTTATGTGCCCAACAGGTTTTAGCTTTGAGTTTTGGATACTTGCCTAATTTAGACATGCTCGGCTCACGCGTGTCTCAGGTGACATTGCTTTCTCCAGGAAGCTGGCTGTGAAGATGTGCGACTTGGCGATCAGTGTGGGAATGATCACTTGCAATCAGTGGGAAAAGAGTGATGCCTGCGATCGTGGGCAGGTGGTGTCTTCTCATGCGTTCTCGCCTGTCGAATGAAACACTTCTCTCTATTGAATGTGTAGGCTGGTGTAGGTGTAGGGGTGCCGACACACACACACACATGGTGATTATATATATATATATATATCACCACTGGCCACCCCACCCTCGCGGTACTTGCACCAAATGCACACCGTGCACACCAATATTGAGTTGCATGGCAGAAAAGGCGGGGCACATGTTCCCGCAGAAATAGAATAGAGCAACCCAACCTAAGAGGAAACAACCTCAGGGCATCTTTACCAGTGGGCTCCTTGGTTCGGGTTCCGCAAAGTCTTTGCCGTCACAGAGACGTATTGCCGTGGGTATGGCTGGGTATGGTAGTGCTGCTGCTTCGGCGGAAGTTCAAATGTTCTTCAAACTGGATCCACGCTGAAGACTGATTGTTACAGCTGACGAGCATGTTGAGGTTTGCACAAAAGCCGAAGAGATCCACACGTGGCGACTTGTCATCACCGGCAGAATGGGAAGACGGCTTGCACTCCTGACCGCCCGAACAAGCTTCTTCACTTCATTCCTTGTGGTTCTGCCCGGAAGACCTGTTCAAATTGCCAGGCAGCATGGCACTCTTACAAGCAACTGCCAACACGTGAAATAGAACCTTGTCGTGCAACAGAAAACGGAAAACGAACTTCTCCCTGTTTCCAGTGGCCAGCCCTGATAAGGCGAGCCTGTGTAGGCAGGTGCACCTCACTTGGGAGGAGTTCAAGGCGAGGTTTGGACTTCGGGTGGATGCCGCGACGCGACGTTTGGCCGAGTGCTGATGGGCTGATGTTGAGCCCAAACCTCTCGGTTCTTGGGCTCCCAAATCTGGGATATGGACTATGACCATGATGGATTTATATGAGCCAGAAGTCGTGCATAGAACTGTAGATGACCCTGTACTACTTGTGATTTCTCATGGATTTTGATTGGGCGCACCTTGGATAGTCTAGGTAGTGAAGGGGTTCACTCATGGCCAAGCTGGCCTTTTGTCCAGCTAAACAAGTGGCAGCCTCAGCTGTTGTGTCTTGTATTGGTGTCATGTTTTTTTACACCCTGTTTGTCCGTGCATGGTTCTTTCTCTTTTGAGGGATCCATTTTCGTTGTTGGGTCACTGCTGTAGGGTCATCATCGTCCTCCTCCTCCCCCTCCTCCTCCTCATCATCATGTATACTCTATTGCACACACATATGTCATACACAATTCCCCTCAGCTTATATAACTATCCTTTATATTTGGAAGAACTTTAACCAAATGTGATGCCTCTCCAAGCCGATGTGGGCTCGAGCGGATTGTTTGAACATGGATGTCGAAGGAACTGCCCGATGTCGTTGGACACAATTCGAAACATGCCTGGTTAAGTTTCCTAACAAATCTAGAAACCAAATGTAGTGCGACGTGAGCTATCCTGCGTCCATACTAGTAGCTTAAGAAAGGTACCAGCTGCCTCTTCTACTAGCTACTTAGCTACTACTTCTTCTACCGGCCTACCCCCACCCCCGGGCTTAAAAAACAAGAAAATCGTTCCGTTTTGAGATCTTTGTACTGCGAGCTTCGGAGTGGATCATCAAAAGCGTTCCGAGCCAAAAGATGGTAGACCCCAATAGACCCTAGACATGCCATGGGAGGTGGCCCAACGGTAAGTCTGTTGTGGTGTGTTTGCATCCTTCGCCTGAAGGCCGAGCCAGATATTCTGATTTGGCACCTGAGCGATGAACGTGACTTGGCGGTTTCAGACGACCTGGGATGGCCTTCTGGGCCTGGGCTGACCATCCGTGGTTCATCCCCTGCCCTCCTGCGGGCCCGTGGGTTCATTCGCCTGTGAGCCCTGAGGTGTACAGGAAGCAGCTCTAGGGGAGCGACTTGTACTGCAGCGAGAGGGGCGTTGGCTTCGGCGGTTCATCGTCCTGCGGGGTGGTGCTCATCGTCCTGCCGGGTGGTGCAAGCAGAAGAAAGGAGGAAGCGAAGCAGGCGGTCACCCCCGGTGCGCCTCCTGTAATTCACGTCTTGTACTCGACATCTCACGGGAAACGCACGACCAATTGATTCATGGGAACTAACACCTGGGACACTCGAAAGAATCATGTGCAACCCCTGGAACCAAATCAGGGTACAGCTTGCTCAGACACGCTCAGACACCCAGTTTGATCACCATCTACGACCACGCCTCTCACCGCGCCTTTTTCGGGATGGAGTTGGACATGACTTCCAGTCAACTCGATCGACCGTTCGCCCTTTGGCACGGTGCTCGAGCGAGGGCGACCGACATCCGGTCGCCCCGTCTTCGGCCGACCCGAGGACTAGTCCCAGCCTGGTGGAGTTAATGGCGCCTCGGCGAGTCGGAGGCGTCTCACTCGTCGCGGCGAGGCGCGAGTCCAGTCGAGTGTGTTCGAAGACGGGGCGGATCCCGACCTTCATGGGCGGTTCAGGCTGGCGGATCACCCGGTTTGGAGCTCGAAGGCTGCCTCTGACCATGAAATAGCCGAGGTGAAGAGGGCCTTGGCCTGGAAGCTTCGGGACAACTATGAAGCCAAGTGCACGGAGGCTGGAGTGAGGCCTTTCGAGGTGGCGGCGGCAGCTGCTCGGTGTGTAATGTTTGTGCCTGGAAAGGGAGGTTATAGGAGGCCAAGTGAGGTTTTTGAGGGATGGTGACGACCTGTGAAAACCGAGAGAACAAGAACAACAAGAGGAAACAGATGCACATATACCAATTAACGATCAACGTGAGCGTGAGCGGAATGGACACGGCGTGTTCACGAGCCAGTCCGGGTTTTGTGCCGTCGCATGACCAAAACATGGCAAAACATTGACTTTCAAGTGGTCGGGAAGTGAGCAAACAAAAAAACGTTTTCCAAGACTTTTTCTCAAGCAATTGTTGAGAGCGGGTAAACAACGAAGCACCCTTCCCGTGTGCTCCTTGTACACCTAAAGAAGTGCACTGTTTGTAAAGACCTGCTCTAACAAATGGCGGGGGTCACCCCTTGTAATGTTTTTGTTTCACCCCCCCCAGCCCCCACTTGTAAGAAATCTAAGTTGGATCTTTGGTGCGGTCAACATCTCTTGGAGGATATATGTGATCCTATGCGATCCTCACTTAAGCGTTCCAATTCCATCGTTCTAGGGTTCGGTTGAAGAGTGCCAGTTCCAGGGTTCCAGGGCAAGGTTTCAGGGCAGATGGTTCCGGTGGTTTGGTGCAGCTTCTGGGGGGGTACCCATCGGTGGTCTCAGGTCCCATTCAGGTCCCATGTTTCCAGAAAACGATTCCCACAAACACCATTTAATCATTTCGATTCAATTACTGTACGCCCTTTCGGCCCTGTCAGAGGCCCAAAACATGGCCAAAGATCTTCAATCATGCTACTGTCCACGCGCAGGCCGAACACACTGTAAGTGCCAGCGTTGATGAGCCCACAGTATTGCAACGGGTGCTATTTTCACATTTTGTGGGCAGCATCCAAGGCGCTCCAAAGTTCTACGCTTTCGTGGCTACTGTATCAAAAAAGACGTTATAATGGGGAGACATACTGTAACAATCTGTAACAGGTTGTTCTTCACGGTTGTTATATAACACCAGTGAAGAGGTTGCTTTAAGACTGATCCTGCGAGGATGGTTTGTTGGACGTTGTGGAATTGGTGATGTTAGTGAGTTCTTCATCATCTCTCGAAAAGTGCGAATGTGAGACACGCAGATGCCTTGGATATGTCAGATGTAGGGGACGGGAAGAGGGGTGGTTCGACTTCGGAGGTGGGGGGTTCGGAAGCACACCCCATACTACCCTCGAGCCATGGGCTGCGCACGATAAGCATATAAATATGAAAGACCACCAAGGCAAGTGACTGATGATACTATACTATGGGTAGCTATAGTCCAGTGACTAGTGATTCTTGTGATTTTTCCTCCGCACATATTATAGCAAGTGCCAAGTGGAGGAAACAGATCCCGGCACAAGGTTGCTGACATCTATGACACTGCAGCCGAGCTGTATGGTGCTCAGGATTCGGGTGGCCAAAAAGATCAGTGCATTTTTCTCGGTCTGTCGGGCTTCACTACCCGCAAAAGCATGAATTCGTGGATCAAAGTCATTGAAAGGCATTCACTTTCCAAGCCAATGCTGATCAAGAACGTTCATTTCCATTTCACAGATTTTGCGCATCAATTTGAGTCAGCCTTCTGACAATCAATTCAGAAAATTCACTTTGCCCGGACGTTCGCTCACCCATGCACACATACCACTTTTGCTAGACAGAAGTTTGCAAGTGCCATGACTCATGACGTTTGAAGGGTGGCCACTGATCGAGTTCAGCCTTTCAAGGGTCACGGGAAAAGGATAGATGAGCTGTTCGGCCAGGACGAGGAGGAAGAGAAGGCTCAATTTGAAGCCCTTTGCCGATCCAAAATGACCCAAATCAGGCAGGCGTTGAACAGTCCTGCCTCAGCGAAGAATCCTTCAAAAAATGCCAAAGCGCCAAGACGAGGATGACCAGGGCCTGATGAATGATGAACGTATATGAACATATATATAATTAGAGACTTGACTGGACAGTGTCGGAAAAAAGAAGGGCATTCCGTGAAGAGCGTTCTTTCGGGCATATCCGCAAGCATTTTTGTCTGCTGAGATCTACTGAGTATACTGATCGAGTCGAATTGGGCTGGGCGACCTGCAGAGCTCCAACTCGCCGCAGGCGGAAGCAGGTGGGATTCATCAGTGAAGGCTCCGCGCCTTCGCAGAAAGGCCAAGACCAGCCGAAGAAGACGGTGGACATCGACCCTTGGTGGCCGAACCCCCATAGCCCAATGTTCATTGGGCTGGGCTTCGTGCCTGGCACGCACACACACATATGCCTCCTCACATGCGCGTGCAGCAAAGGACCTCGACCTGTCAGCAGCCCTGCGAAATGGCCACAGAAACAAAACACCTATTTTTGCACCACCAAGTATAGCTAAGCCGCAGTGGAGCGTCCCCCAATGTATCAGCACCGGCTGGCACCCTGTTCGTTGGATGGGCTATGCCAGTGGTGTCCCGTCCCCTTGCAAAAGTTCGTCTGAATGAATTCGCCGAATATTAGCCAACCTGGTCAGAAAAGGGCGATGTAGGAGTGCGGTGTGTGATGGGCCCTGGGTAGCAGGGTGACACACAGACACACACAGCCATGATCCGGCGCACTGAGAAGCATAAACCGTCATGACCTCGCCACGTCGCCCGGCTACACAGGCCTCGTCTTACTCCCACCGAGAAAGCTCACAGCGGATCCAGAGCTCCTCCAGCACCAACAGCTCATCTCCATCCCTAAATTCCGGAAGTGGGCTCAGACCTTCCCAGAAGAGACATCGAAGAGGGGGTCTCGCAGTTGCCAAACTTGAAGCACACCCAACAGACACAACTTGGGCGGCACTCAGTCGTGCGAAGAAGTGCATGGCGTAGATTTCTTGGTGTTTTGGTTCTAGGTGCACGACTTATGCTTTCAGGTCTGTCATTCTAGCATCGGGGTTCGCTGCTGGAAGGGTCCTTTCGTTTGTTTGAGGGATGTGGTTGGAGGGAGTTCATGATCGAAAATGATCAAGGCCAACATTTTTCGTCAAACCTGGTCGGACCCCCAAACAACCATAAAGAAAGTCTTGCTTACCCCGAAACTTACACCTTTTTATATATAAAATCCGAACTGCCACGGGTTCAAGATGTTCAAGACACAGATTCCATCAAACATCAAACACCCAAGCTCTCCAAAACAGCTATTATATGCTATTATTAGTCCTTTTGGACCCAGAAGTTGGGCGCGCTTTTGACACAAGGCATCGTCAGAAAGTAAGAAACTGTTTCACCTGTTCACGCCAGATTTCCACGCCCAGGAGACCTTAGACTTTGGCCTTTTCTCCTCCTTCCCATGGCCGCTCCAGCTCTTCTACGAGTGCGTCCCAGTCTTTTGGGTGGTTCTGCTGGCCATGTGGGGAGGCTTAGACATGGCCGCGACCTGAAGTGGCCCCCAAAAGTATCCAAAAGTCAATTATATAAAGAGGTCAATGCATTTTGTAAGCAAAATTGGATCGAACATGTTCGATGAGTTGAGAACTAGTTTCAGGGAGACATCCTATAGTGACATGTCAGGCTGGTGATTAGCCCCGCACGGTTTTCCCCGGCAGGCATTTTGTTCCAGCTATGGACACATGCAGCCGGATGGTTTTGTTCCACACGGACGTGCCCTCAAAAACCGGGCGAACCGGACGACTGGTGGACATCGTGGACCGAAGGGTCCGTGACGGGCGACCTAGTAGCGTCCTCGCTCCGTTCGTAGCGATGCCCGGAGCCCCTAGTAGCTTCTTGTTACTACTAGTAAGGCACTTGTTACTAGAAGCGATGCACTTGTTCCTAGTAGCTTCTTGTTACTACTAGTAAGGCACTTGTTACTAGAAGCGATGCACTTGTTCCTAGTAGCTTCTTGTTACTACTAGTAAGGCACTTGTTACTAGAAGCGATGCACTTGTTCCTAGTAGCTTCTTGTTACTAGTAGTAAGGCCAGGAGCCCCTAGTAGCGTCCTTGCTCCTACTGAAGGTGGCCGGGTTTGTTGTCCAACTTCCTCAAGATGATTTGGTGCCTCCCCATCGTGGAGGACATCGTCGAGAACAATCAAGTGGTGACCACCAGCAGGCAGCGCCTGCGGCCAGATCCAGCCCCTCGAAAGAAACATGAAAAGCAGCAGCAAGGTGAACACGGGCCGTTCAGACTATTTAGATCCATTTAGCCTTTATGTTTCCGTTTAGCCTTTTCCTCGTTCTTCTTTTTGGGAAACGTGAAATGTCCAGATCCACGCAGTGTTGAGGAAGTGATCTGCTGGGAAGGAGATCACTATTTGGTCTACATGATCTCTTTCATCGGCTTGGGTGTTTGGTGCTGCGGGGTGCCAATCTTGCTATATCTTCGGCTCTTGTGCCTGAGAGACAGGCAAAGCCCGGACAATTTCCGGAAGTATGGCTACTTTATTCAAGGAGCCTCCGCCTGGTTCATCTCTTCGGGTTGGTCCAGCTCTGGCATGCTCTGGCCCAGATGATGCCCAGGTTTCTGTAGCTCCATACTGGACGTGTGGTGCTACATCTAGGACTAGCTATACCCCATGCACTCCTGTTCTCCCCATTCTTCGACTCATATAAATTACAATATATGAAAATTTCCTTTGTGAAGAACTTGCAGCCAGGCACATTGTTTCAGTTCGTTCTATTTGCTTTGCGGACGGTCCTCCAACTTTGGTTCCTTTGGCGATTGCTGGAGGGCGTCCTCAGGGATTGAACAATTTCATTGTTCAAAAACTGTTTGCAGATTGCTTTTGAACTCTTTCCCTCATTCCCAACTGCTACTAAGCACGAGCCAACTCAACATTTGTTTGCAGAACATGTTTCAACTCATTCCCTCATTCCCAACAAAGCACGAGCCAGGCTGGAGAAGGACATCCAATGTTGCGTGACACCAGCGCGCAGTAGAATCCAGTATCCCGCATATGACCGGTCATATGGATTATTGGCCCCGCCCGGCCTAGAGTTTTTTTTTCTCCGAACATTTTCATGCGGCTTGTCACCACAGGTAGAGAACTCCTCCATGCAGCACTGCGGAACTGTAGCTTTCTGGGACTTGTTGGAGTTTTATTGATCAAAGCTGCATTTTTCCCTGGTGTGCAGTCACGGGCCCCTAGAAGATCCTAAACGCGTCAAAGTCAGAAAAGCTGCAGTTTTCCATATCCATTAGGATACCGCATGTTGGCTCCTGCTTTGTCGCTCGTATCCGTCGGAGGATACGAACCCCAGTACTGGTGGTGGGACATCATTGTGAAGCGCTTGGATGTGGGTTTGATGAAGCTCACGACCTACACCTCCATGGCCGCCGATGAGAAGCTCGATCTCTTTTGGGGAAGGTAGGTGCTGGCAGCTGAATTCAGAGACTTTCCAGAAGCGCCAGGCACGAGTTAGGTAAGCTCATTGGATTTCATATTATGATTTCATGCTGAAAGAATTGATGCCGTAGCGGCCCCAAAAGGAGGTTCTTTGTTTTACCTGATGGCCTTGCAAGATGCGAGTGCCCAGTGGGCTTTCGGAAAGAGAACGAAGTGTTCGTTCGCCACCGGTTTTGGGGAGTCAACTGTTCCATGACAATCTCTCGGTGCGGTGCAGCCAATCCGCCAATCCAAAACTACAGTGACGTGGACAACCACCTGTTTGTAGAGGAACATGGTCATGCAACAGGCCATGCCATCCACTTCCATGGCTATTTCAGGGAGTGATACTTTTAGATTGATTTACAGTCGAGAGTTCTTCGCCGACTTTGCCTTTCATCTCCTTTCATTATTTTCACCGTCTTCATTTTGTGCTCCAGGTTTTGCCACACTTTTCAGAGGTAGGAACAACAGAAGTCGAAAGCCAACGGTCCGAACGGTGTTCGTGTTGGTGTCGATCGATTGATGGGTCTGGGTTCGATCACCTTCGCCTGAAAAAGGGCTTCGACTGGGTTCGACATGTGGACTGAGGAAAGCGAAGCTGCTACTTTTCCCCATCTTGTCGGGCTTTCAACTCGGGATCTTCTCGTGGTACAAGCCCTTCATTCATTCGCAGGGTGGCATCTTGGACATTTTGGACGCTTGGAGAGACATGGTGAGGGCTGCTCCTAAGCATGTAGCTAGACTCTATTCATCCCTACTCCATCCTACTCCTATGCTGGTGCCCCATAAGCCCTTCTGGAAGATAGGCCCAGTGCAGATGTCAGACCTATCTTGCGGCATTTCTCATGAACCAAGATAAGATTGTTGGTTCGTTCGACATCCTATGGCCACAAAAACATCCCACTTTTCACGGTGTTCTTCACAGATCCCGTGAAACCGTGGTGACCGTGCGCGCAAGCACAAGTTCTCACAATCTCTGACTCATATGAAAGTATAGCATGATATAACGGTCCTCTAAGGAGATGTGCCTGCTCATCGCGCGCTTCACGCTCTTCAGTGCGATCTCCATCATCTTGATCTTCAATCCATCGCAAGCCGTGGCATGGGTTTCATGGTCCACCGTGACGGCGTTTCGTCGTCCGTTGGCGGCCATTCGCTTTTCGGAGGTCGTTGGCGACCGTTGGAGACCAAGAGGCACACCGTGGTGAAGAACAATGGTGTGAGGGCCAGTCGTAGTCATAATAGTTCATCATAGGGTCAAAGAGGGGGAGCATTTTGCCAACTGACTATGATTTGTAGCCGGCTTCTCTAACTTTCCAGGTGATTGGGCTGGCAAGTGGATATTCACCGGCGATCAGTTGCGCCAGATTCAAAGTTCTGGGAAGACAAGTTCATCAACAGTAGGATCGTGTAGCATCACTATCAATGAAATAAATCCAACACCTGAAACCTGCAAGCGGTATGGTGACCTCCTCAACTGACAGACAAACGATTTCCCTTCAGACACGTGTGGGAAATCACATGAAGATCATCCGATCCTTTTGTGCTCTCCTTTTTGCTTCGGGTGGCCACACTCTACCCACAATAAGATAACAAACGTAACTTTGTTATTTTAAATACAATTATCATAGTTGCAATTGTAATTTAGCATAACTTATCCCAAACACCTGTATCCACAAAGACAAGTTTACACCGATCCGAAGCAACAATGGGCACTTTCAAGTGCACGCATTCACCAAGGATCATATTGGCAAGGTTGTACACACACATGCATGCCAAACAAAATCAAACAATGGTTTACTGCAATCCTTTTTGGTGGGTGTGCATATAGGTATATATATATATATGTATAGAGTTCCCTGTTGTCATGCTGCAATGCGAGCGCGGACCTTTCAACAACTTCCCCCTGGCCCCTGCAACGTGGAGTGTTGGCACCCACACGCAGGTCCGGGACTCGGGTCTTTAGCAGATCCTGCACTTGACAATTGATCCAAAAAAAAAAGGCCTAGGTGTCTTTAAAGAAGGGCCCCCCCAAGGTCCACATAAATCGACTCTGACGATCGGTCCCGGACCCGTGACACTTCACACCGCGGCGGTCCCGAGCGGTCGGTGACCGGTGACCGCTCGGGCGGTTCTCGAGGTCTTGGCCGGTGCTTTGGTCTTGTTGTTGGGCTGCACCTTGGCCTTCTTTTTGCTACACACCATCTCTCAGTTCTTGCGCGGTGCCGCAGCCGAGCTGGAGGAGACCAGCAATACCAAGCAGGCGGAGGGCCGGAGGTTGGAGCGTTTCGCGGGGGTAAACTTGGATGGATGAAGTCGACATTAGGTGGATGGTGACTGACCAGATGCCTGGAATGCTGAATTAGCTGCGCTGGTCGACTTGCAATTCCATATTTTTTGGCATTCCCTCAATGGTGCTCGCGTGTGCACGCACATGCCAATCCTTTGTGAACCAGTTGACCCAAGTGTCGTTACCCACGCCTCGTCGGATGTCGTGACCCACGCCTCGTTACTTCGACCTTTAGCGTCGACCGAGTCGCACTGACCTGCGGAGTCGCTCTGAGAGATCAGCCCTTCTGCGATGCAATGGACCATTTTGTCCCCACGAAGGTGTAGGTCGCATTCCACGTTTCTTGAACAACATGTCTATTGGGAAGAGAAGGTGTAGGCCTTCCTGGGGTCCAGCTGTGTTAGCATCACTGAAGAGGTTTTCGCTTTGGCAGTGATTTGGGATGCTTGAAGACAACACGCAAGGCCGGACAGAAGAAGAAGGGTCTTGCACAAATGGCAGGCACCTGGGGTTCCGCGGCGGATTCTTCCTCTTCCCATACTGAGGAGTTGACACGATTTTATCATACTTGATCGTTCCTGCTAAATATTCCTACCACTTGAGCTTGACTGCGATTGGAGACTGAATTCAGGAGTTGGTTTGGGATGTTGTAGTAAAGGTTGTCAAATGATGCTCACCAACCCCCTTGCGAAAAAACAGGATACAGTACAGTACTATGTTTACTTAAACGTGTATCGTGCGTCAATCGAAAGGGTAGAGCAGCTTTCTTTTTGCACCTCCACTCCCAGTCACATTGTATCCCTTGCGTTTCAGTGGTTTGCAGTTGGATCCTGTTTGCAATTGCGCTAGCCACTACGAGTCCAAAGCTACTAGTAATCTGCGATCGGTCTTACCAAAGCTGAGCAGGTTCTTGAAACCTTGGTCGAAGGAGCTCCCAGTTTGACCCCGGACCTGAACCTTCGATCCGTTCAGCGACGTGTTCACCACCGCAACCGCTCCGCAACCTGCCGCAACGCGCAGTCGGAATTAAGAAGTTCTTCATTGAGTTGGCTTTGCCCTTCTTCATGGAAAGCGATGATGAAAAACTCTACCTGGAGCAGCTCCGGCAAAAATCCCCGTGAGAGGCTTTTGGGGGATCGCCCGTCAGCATTGGGAGGTGGGTGCATATCTGATCCTTTCTCCCTGTTCCAGTCGGAGTCTCTGCAAAAAACAATTTTATATATTATAAAGTTATATGTAGTACTTGTAGTGATAACATAATGATATGTATGACATATCATAGCACACACACACACATATATATATATACACACGCATATTTGGGGGAGATTGATAATAGAAGAATTGAATATATGGCAGTGGGCCACTCCTAGCATTTTTGGGAAGATCGCCCACGCCTTGTCTCCAAGCCAGGAAAGCAGAAGACCATTTCAGGGTGGTTGCAGCATTGAAAGCGCTTCTTTTGCTGAACACTGTTGTAGGAAGTGAAACGGGCGGCGCTAAAGAAGGTTGAAGATGAATGTGGGAACACCTGAGGGCGGGACCTCAGACTGAAACCACATACTATAGTATATTATATATATATATATTATATTAATGTTGGATCCTGATTAGTAAAGGGGGGTCCCCCCCTCCCTCAAACAAATAGGGGACCCTCTATAATAAATTACCACCAAAGCAAATCTGGATTCCTGTGAGGATTCCTTTTGTAATTGATTGTAGTATTCATTTTCCTTTCATAGATTGTATTCAGCTTCCTTTCTCAGGTGCTTTGTGATTGTTCTCAGCAAGAGAAATCTATATCAGCTAATGAATCATAATCATTGGCCTCAGGAGCCAAGTAAAGGACGATTCCATGAGCAGTTTTTTTCCAGTGGAAAAACTTTTCACAATTGAGAACCCAAAAACAAATCTATTATTGAGGATCAGGTGCCTTCCTGGTCTACTACCTTGAACATTTGTTTAGGAGCAATGTTTTATAAAGGGTTTAATTAGGAATTGGTGGTTTTGGTCAGCTGTCAGTTTTGAAGAAACCTGTCAGTTTTGAAGAAACCCTTATTAATTAGGGTTCCAATATAAAACATTTAGGGTCCCCAAAAAATTTAGCATTATTCAGGTCCCATTTTTCAAACATGGGGTCTGGATCAATTTTGGAAAAATTTAGCATTATTGAGGAACCATTTACTAATCAGCATCCAACATTAATACTTACTTTTTAATCTAAACGCAAACAAATGCAACATACCTAGAATCTAATATACAATATATATAAATATTATGGAAAACTATATATACATATATAATATAATGTAGCAAACGCAGGCACGCAGGTTGAAAACCCATGAGCACTTCACTCCCTTGAAAGGACCAACGGTTCCCCAAAGTCTGGTCGTTCGAACCGAATCCCAGGTGGTCTCTGCACTCCTGGAAAGCCTCAATCGTGAGCGCGGCAGAGCGGAAGGGGCAAACGGAGCAGGCGACGAGATCCCGGATCGCTCCTTGGAGAAGGGAGGTTCAAGGACGCTACGAACGTAGCTCCTGGCCTTACTCCTAGTAACAAGAGGCTACTAGCAACAAGGGTATCGCTACTAGTAACAAGAAGCTACTAGAGGCACTCCTGGCTATACTACTAGTAACAAGGACGCTACTAAGTTACTAGGAGCAAAGGGCATTTTGCCCCGGGAGCTTCGCCCCGATTTCGGGTCGAACACGGTGCCCAGGGGTGTTCGACCCTTTCGTGCCAGTTGGAAGTTTTCGGATGATTTTGCTCTTGCGCCGTTCGAGGGCCCGGAAGAAGACACTTCCATGTTCTGGGGGGGGTCCCTGACGGTCCAAAAATTGCGGGACCGGACGAGCGGCGAGCGAGACTCTGGAGTTCCACCAACCTCCAAGAATCTGATTTGGCAGATGGGTGGTGCCGCTATTTTTTTGGAGTTGCGCCAACAACTTTCTGATCGGTGTAGCTCCCAGAGATCAGGGTCCCACAATGTTGCTCTATTCTTGTTTGGGTCATTTCAACCTGAACTGGGGTTCCGAAGTGGTTGAACTGTCCGACGAAAATCCGGGGCGCTGTTACTTTATCCCCCACGAAAGCGGCCAAGCAGAAACGGACGCGGGATAGACACAGGATTGATTCTGTTTTTTCGGCATGGGGACGACGGCATGGGGACCTTCTAGTGTTCACCCGATCCATACCATATCGGACCTGAAACGCTTGCACCACAGGACGGTGGCGACTCTGTTTTCTCCGAACGGGTCGAAGTCGTCGATGTCCGACCCGCGGACGATGTGCGGAAGGAGGTCCTTCCGTGGTCTCCGAGGTCTCCTGCTTCAAGTCCTTCCGTGCCTTTGTTCTGCACCACGGGCCCTCCGTGGAGCGGCAAAACTTGGCCAAGGTGCGCCGTCTTAGGAGATGGTGGAAAGAGGAGGAGGTATGGATTCCATGGATCGGGATCGTTTATGATTTATGCGTGATTTCCCGTAGTTTGGTCCGACCTTCTTTTGACGAGGATTTGGTGGTTTCTGGTCTCGCTTTGTTGTTCGTGCCAGAAGAACGCAGACACATGCACTGCAGGTGTTGGAGTGATGAAAGGCCTAGGAAGGCATAACCCTAGCCTCCCAACCAATCAGTCAGCCACACAGAGAGGTCCGTCAAAGGTCCGCAGTTAACACCGAGCTCGATCAGGTCAGGTCTGTTTTCACGACCCTTTGCAAGCGCGTTTGTTGGCAATCTTGCAACAGGGCTCCTAACTCCTAGATCTCCTAGCCGCCTAGCCCCTGCTCTGTGCATCTTAATTACTTGACTCTCTACCATGCAACATAACCGATGAGAATGACAATACGTAGAAAGTGTAACGAAACCCAGTACTCGTAGCAATTCCATCAGCCAGTTTGTTGATTCATTGAATAGTCCAAGACATGGGCAAACGGATGTGAACCCTTTGCAAGGGTCGAGTCCTGCTATCTGAACATGTGCTACTGTTCGTTGAGGAAGCCAGCCATTCACTTGGTAAGTTTTAACACGTGCCCTTTTCAAGGCTTTTGGACGGCAAAGAGGACACTTGTCACAGGTTCCTCGACAATTTGTTGGACCTGTACCGTCGCTTTCATGAGCCCCAAACAGTCCAAAGACCAAAGTCCTTTAAACGACCAGCTACGTCAATTAATTAATGAAGGCGCATGGCCAAAGTGCCTAAATTGTTTGGTAAGGTCAGCTTGCCATATAGAACAATTTCCAAGGGTTTTTCCAACCGAGAACTGACTGCCTTGTACTCTACTTCAATATATATATATATATATTTATCCCAACCCGCCCAGTTGCAGTGCTCATGCCCAGTCAGTGGATAGCCTTTAAACTTAAACCTTTTTGGGGAGTGGTTTCTCCACTAAACCAGAACAGGTCGCAAACATCACTGATTTCACCAGAGTGGTCTCAGTGTGGACAAGCCGGTCGGAGAGATCTTGAACAGGTCGAAAACAACATCACCCTTTGTTTTCCAGGGAAACTGACGGAGTCACTGGTTGGATCTCTCTGGGTCGGTGGACCGAGGCCTCGGGCCGGGCGTTGCGTTCCATCGGTGATGGCGGCGGCGGTGTTTTGTGGGTTTGACCATATGGTCAGTTGCGCTGCGAACGTTTGCTTCATCCGTGTTCGTGCTTCATGTGTTGTCAACGTATGCATCTTTTTGATTTCTTCTGTTTCTTCATTTGCCGTTGTGTTTACCATCGTTTGCCGTTGGTTGTCCTTGTGTATCGTCAGCTGTTGTGTTCGATGTGTTCGAACTATGTCAGCTGTTGTTGGCGACTCTCGTGGCCTTTGGGTCGGGCCGGCGGGCGGTCTTGGGTGGTAAACAGAATGGAAGGGGGAACCTTTTTTCGGGAAACCTCTCGTGGACGGGCCCCAGGGCAATCTCCACCCACTTGGAGTCTAAACGCCATCCCCACTTGGACCTCCTCAGACTGTCTCATCTTTCTTTAGGCCTTCTCAGACTTCGGGGAAGCTTGGATGGAAGACTTCGACCAACCGGGCTTGCCCGTGGACATGGTGCACGTGCTGTGCGTTTTAACGGCGACCTCCAGCTTTGTTCCGGCCAAGACGCCACTGAGCCTTGGACGTCCCAGGTGGGGTCTAACTCGGGTGCTTCTTGGACTGGAGGCCGAGGTCACTCGGGTCCCATCGACCCTGTGTTACATCGGTTTGGTTGGAGCATGGGGGGTGCCTTAGTTAAATATTCCAGGTAGCGATGTCAGGAAATGACTGGACAGATTTTGCTGGAATATATTTCGATATTTTTGGCCTTGGGCATATGATACATCCCCCTGGCAACATACCTGGAATATTTTGTAGATGTTGCTGATTTGTCAGGTCAATGGCAGAGACAGAGAACTTTTTGTCAAGGGTTTCAACATACCTGGAATAACAAAATACTACTAGAGACATCGAACTGGAGATATACCTGGAAATAGTTTTGATGAAAAGTCAGCTGGACTTACCAGAAACACAGCAAACACAATAAAGAACAATCCACATATATAAGAACTAGAAAAGAGAAAGACAAGAACTGTGGTGAGAAGAGGCGGATACGATCACAAGAGGCGGATTCGACTTTGTTTATCCTTTGTACTGCCTGAATTAAATCCTGGGGGTCTACCGCGCTTGTAACACTTGCGAAACTGAACAGAATTGATTTGTGCGGCCTCTTTTTGTGATCGATCTCGCCATATCTCGACGTCCGAAGGATCTCGACAGCGGTTTTCGCATCATGGGTGAAGACGTACCAGGAATAGATTTTTTGATTCCAGAACTGCCTCAGGCCTTGGAGAATATTGTGAACTACTGACCGACCGCGGAACTTCCGTACCCAAAGACCGCTGCGAAGTGTTGGAACTTCCAGCAACTGACTCGTACCTGGTAGTACCTATGCCATCGACCTCCCAACACCTAGGAGCGAGACAGCGCACAAGTGGCAGCAGCAGGCTGAGAACTTGTTGCGCCATGGCCATGAGCAAGAGAAACACTACGTCTCAGCGGACAGCTTGGTGTCCAGTCGCACACGCTTGCTCAACCTGAACCACGCTCACGCGGTGACTTTGGACTTTCGGCTGATGTTATTGGTACAGCTAGTCAAGTCGCCTGGATCCAAACCTGGGCCCCACATGTTTCAAATCGTTCTGTGTTTTTGTATGTTTTTGTGTTTTATCGGGTGGGGAGCAGGTTGATAGAGCATTGAGACATGGAGATCTCCGAATGGATCCGAATACAGCAGTGACTCTGAAGGCCGACACAAAGAAGTTCCCCAGACTTTCCACCTTCACCTTCATTCATCGGCGAGTTCATCGCTTTGAACACCGAACACCCACATTTTCCCTCTTCTCCGCTGGCGTTGACGAAACGATGCGACAGCTTTCCACTCCGCCAGGTGCAGAATGTCCAAGATTTCTTGCTCTCGGAGAAGCGCCGGGCGACAGAGTCACGAAGGATCGCCAAGGAAGCCGAGGCGCGGCCAACGGCGACGGGACTCGGGGAGGGGACTCGGGGCCGAGGTGCCTGGAATCCGGACCATTGTCAGATTTTTTGATGATATATAAATATATACTGATATTTGTTCCGCAACTGCGATGATTACCTTAAGGGTCTTCAGCCATAGTTGCTATAATTAGTTGTGGACTTCGGGGGGAGATCGGAGCAGACTCCGCAGCTTGTGAGGCAAGTTTCGGAGCAGGCGCCTCCGCCGCAAGTTCCGGAGCAGGTTACGGAACGAGTACCTGCAAACAACCTGCCCGAGTGCATTTAAACACTGCAAGCATATGGCACATTACATGTGAATGTGTGATTTGTATCACGGCCCGCTGGACTTGGTAGGCGTTTAACCCCCACACAATTGCACACGAATATGCTGCCCAGAAGGACCACTACATGTGCAATATGTGCAACGCAGGAGAGGAAGCAGCTGGAAGCAGCAAAATCTGCGAAATCAGGAGGCACTTGTTGAACATGGGATTCTCAGTGGGTGTTGCCCGGAGGTCGGCTTGGTAGGAAGAAACTCTGAATAAAGTTGCCAAGCGAGAAGGAGCCACACGTGTAGACCGGTCTTGTATATATAGTGTTGTATGCAGGCAAGGAGGCCAAGTTCTCGTGTGGTGTGCTTAGCAATGTCAAGATGATAGTGGCAAGATGGGGTCTATCTACACGAGGGTTTTGGTCAATACTCATCCGAGAGCTTGATGTAGGACGGCAATCCTGGCGCACCGACTCGAACAAGGGCGGATCCGTCTCGGAGGCCGTCTCGGCCGATCCAGGCGCGATGTCTCCTGTACACTCCTTGCTGCATCATCATGCACAGGCCGTCCAACTGGGGCATCGGGCATTTTGCCAGGGCCGGTGACTGGCACCCACCATGCACATAGGTCCAGTACATGGGAGTTTTCTTTGTTTTGTTGGATGAGCTGATTGCACCCGGACTAATGTTCCCAAAGACCACGGTTAAGACTTAAGACACATGTGTTATCAATAAGTGGTCCCTGGGGCAACTCACACGGAAGTGGATAGCCTGGCACTTGGGAAGACGATTCTCCTGGTCTACCAGGTCGTTTCCGCTTCCACGTTAGAGTTGGACTGCTGTCACCAGGGATTCTTTAGCGGTCTTTCTTGGTTTTGGTTTTCAGATGCGAATTGTTTGGGTTGCATGCTTAGTCTAATTGGTATTTTTGTGCAGTGGCTAATGGCGACCTCTAGCGGCGCGTCACTGCTGATGATGAATGGGTGAACATGTTTGAAGTTAAAGACGCTCAAAAAAGTGGTTTTCCTCATTTGCTGCTTTTTCTGTGTGGGTCCAGTGCTGATATGACACTTTCGGTTCGGAGGCAACGGGTTTGGCCGATGCATCTGAACCGCGAGTGTTTGGCTAGAGGTGTTGGTTGCAGCGGCAGCGGGTCGTGTCCCCGGACATCTCCTCAAAGACCATGAAGCAAGACCTGCAGGGTGGACCCTCATGTCCCCAAGCGCCGCCAGCTGCCTCAGCTTCCCTCTCAAACCGGGCAGGACTCCTTGGTTCAGGGTGGGGACCATCGGTGCAGGGAGGGGGAGGCCATTTCGACAGGGTAGGTCCGGGTAGGTGAAGAATTCTAATCAAAACAGAGGCAAAGGCAATCATCTACATACCTACCTCTTAATCGTTGCTAATGTATAGACTCTTGATGAATCAAACCCCCTCATTTCTATAGATGGTAACACCTCTTCATCCTCTTCATACCGGGGGGGTTTGATGAATCAACCGTCTACATGATTTGGCGAGATGACCTCTCTGCAGAGGGCCCCTCTGAGTGATCCGAGAGCCGAGCAATCCGTGAGGTACTGAGACGTAGACAAGAGTTCTTACACGTAAGGTCACAACGTCAAGATTGGCAGATTGCTAAACAGTTCAGTACAAGATGTGCTGAGCACTGCTGAGCACCAATTCAGTTCAGTCCAGTTTCTGCTCGGGCACAGCTTTGGCCCCGCTTTATCACACTGGGCTCGGATACCCTGACGCACAGCAGCAAAAGGAAACAGCCCAAGCACGTTGCCATGTGGTGCTCCAGCTAGTCTCTCTCAAGGGGGTTGTGCAATGTTATGCGCAGCCCTTTCTTGCGGGTTGCGATCACCTGCTCACAGGCTCAGGAGGTCCTTGAAAAGGCGAAGACCTTCGAGAAGACACCAATGGTGGACTCGGCATCCTGGCATTTATCCCCGGACGAGAGTTTTGTGGATGTGTTTCTTCTCAGAACTCCATCAGCTGCGTGAGCCGACTGTTTGCAAGGAACTTGGATGATTGTGCTTGAGCACTTGAATGGTTCACTACTCGGTTGAACTGATGATTCCCCATGGTTAGCACTTTTGAGGTCATTGAAGTGACCAAGACAATCATGGGGAACCCCTGGCTGAACAGGCTAAACCTGCCTTCAATGACAGATGTGGGACTCCCAGCTATGTTGGGGAGCGCCTATTTTGTGTTTGTTTTTTTTCTCTCTCTCTCTCTCTCTCGCTGTCTCTATCTCTCTATCTCTCTATCCATCCATCCATCCATCCATCCATCCATCCATCCATCGATCGATCGATCGATCGATCGATCTCTCTGTCTGTCTGTCTGTCTGTCTATCTATCTATCTATCTATCTGTCTATCATTATCTATCTATCATTATCTATCTGTCTTTCTTTCTATCTATCTGTGCCGCACCGCACGATTTTGAATACCATGATCGAATCACGTTGCAACATCTCTTGGGGTCTTTTGGGGGGACGAACGTCTATGGAGGTGCAAACTGTTTTAGTGCAAACTACAGGAACCAGGGTCGCAAGGGACTTTCTCCGAGCTCAACTGATAACCGAGGCCAGCCAAACCACACAAAGCGCGATGGCCAAGAAGACAAACAAGATGGATGAAGGTGCCCTCTCGCAGGAAGTCCGTCAACCACAGTCCAAAGTTTCTAGTTTTCACGAAGTCATTTGTGAGCCTGGAATGTTATGAACATGGATGAAGGTTCAGGTTCAGGAACTTGGGAATGGACTTGAACGGACTCCGGTGCTGAACGGACTCCGGTGCAACGGACCTCCGTTCCGGCTTCAGCACAGGTGAAGTGTCGCCGCGCTGGGAGCCTTTGAAAGCGCCTGAGCCAGCAGATCCACCATTGGAAGAGATCCAAATCCATCAGGTCCGAGAAAAGACCCCGGAGGCGGTCACTCCGGTCACCCCGGTGACGCCCAAGGAGCCTGGGACGGCAAGGAAAACGAGTGGCGGGTCAGGCGAGGGTGTGAAATAGCACAGCCGAAGATAGTCCAAAGCCACCTGATCAGGGCAACGGCGCAGTTGCAGGCTAATTACTGTATGTTAGTGTTTCTTGGGGTATGTTGGGGTGTAGGAATATACCATTAAGTTACATACAGTCCATGAGAGAGCTGGGTCAAAACATGTTTTAACCGACAACGACGACGGCGGCCGCGGCGATGACACCACGACTAACTAGTTACTGGTCCACTGTTGGGAGGATGAACATCCATAATTACTGCAATAACTTGAGTAATAACCTGGTATTTTGCTCTGCTGTGAGCTGTGCGAGCTTCAAAAGCTCGCACAGCTCAAACGGAGACGTCCAAGACTCATAGAATTTCCTAGAAGAAGGGAAGAAGGGGTGACAAGAGAAGACGTGAACCTCTTGATGCTTCGCCATCATTGGCAAAAGGTCCCGCTGGAGTCCCCCCGGCATCGAGGCGGTGTTTGATTTGTTTGGTTCTCGTCAGCTGAGAACCAGCTGTTTGAGTGGCTGAAGGGCAGAGACCACAGGTGGACCTTGGATGTAAAATATCAAGAACCCAAAAGTAGAGGACAGAGGGAATCACCCAGCCCATGCCAGAACCCTGATCACTCAATATTTGCCCATGCCTACATACGACTGCATGCTGCCAAAGAAACAAAGCAAGTACCGAGCTGGACTGCAGACAGTGACAGTTTATGACTTGACGCATGCCGCCAGTACAAAGCGTCCTTATTGTAACTTACGTCCGCATGTGCTACTACTCGTTGGTCGTTGGGTAACCAAGCGTCCTGTCGCGGAGAACCTGTGCGGAATCTCACGTCCAAGGTCGTGGCAGTGTCCTGTGACCCAGAGCCGGCAGAGCCTGTTCAAAGTCCTTTGCCTCCGCCACCACCCGTGCAGGTCCTTGGCAGAAAGAGGTTCCCTTTCCCCTTTTCGGGAGTGTCCCACCCAGAAGAATCCAAAGCAAGATGGTCGCAGTTCCATTGTCATCACGTTGGGGCCACCAGTCCACCAAGGTCCAACCAGCGCCGATCCTTCCCAAAGGGCCTCGCACCATCCCCAAAGCCAAGCGCCCATCGCCTTCTACCGTGGCTGCCGCACCGAGCGCGGAAGCGCCGCGCCTTCCACCGAGCGCCCCGCCGGCGCCCACGTCGCCGGTGTCGCCGGCGCCGCCCACGACGCCCGCCGGGGCGTCGCTGGTGGCGCGGTCGGTGAGGTCGGCGCCCCGACCGCCGCCGCCCAAGGCGGCGCCCGTGGGCAGGGCACCTGCAGTTGCGAAGGCGACCGGGTGTAGTGTGTGTGTGTGTGTGGGTTGCGGTGGGTTGGGTGGAAAGAAGTGGAAGAGAAAAAGCAGGTATGTTTAAAACATAAAGAATTAGATAGAATTAGTAGAAGATAGTAGAACCATTACAACTATAAAACAACAACTATACTTGAGCGGGTGGTATTAGTAAGAGCGGCCCCCGACGCTCAGCAATGCGGTGCGGTGGGCTCACTGAGATGGCGATGGAAAGAGAGAGAAAGAGAGTCGAATCTGAAAAGTAAGAAGTGATTCCAAGTTGGACATTCACCTGCACTCTGCAGGCGCCTTCCAGAAGCGACCGAGTGCCATTGAACCAGGCCGCATTGGCCACTGAGCTCATCATGGCCGCAAGTTCGTAGGCCTCAAGCAATGCTCCAGTATGCTGTAAGAGGTTTGGGATGGGTATATATATATATGGGCATGCTTCCGGACCACTCCGTGGATTTTTCCTTCGACTCAATGGCTGCCGCATACCAAGATATACAGAGCTGGCCTTGGACTCCAAACATCACATACCCCGTCCTGACTACTCATGTTTTCTGATTATGACTTGGCAACCAGAAGTAGCACAGTTCGCAGCTTTCACCCAGCCCTGTACTGTTACAGCAGTTTTCTTTGCCTTGTGACTTGTGACCAGCGTTTTTTTTGTGTGTGTCATTTGGTTATACTGTACTATTCCTTTGAATCTCGTTCCCTCCTTTGGCTGAGGCCAGAGAGACCACATCAGACACTGAACCAGAGGAGACGGAGGAGGAAGACTCTGACGACGAGCAGTGAGGGAGATTTGTTGAAATTGGCACCTCCGCCATTGCCGCCATCGCCGCGCCTGTCAGCGCTGGCCCGGCTCCAGCCGCGTGCGAAGCACTCGCTGCTTTTTTGAGGCTGGGCCAGTGCTGTGCGGTGCCTGAGCTCCGTACTGAGCTCCAGACCGCTTGTAGATTTGGAGCAAGAGTTGACCTCTTAGGCCAGAAGTTGTATAGGTACTTAGAGGTCATGATGCTTGGTGGCCCCAATTGTGAATGATAAGCAGCCAAGCAAGTGGGCGGTTGCCACGGTTCAACATAGAGGCCTTAAACCAAGGTTCTACGAGAACATTTCAAGATCCCAGACCTGGTGGACCGGTGGACCAAGTGGTTTCCTTGTGCAATTGTTTCATAGGTCTTAAGAAATGGAAAGAAGAGGATCATGCGCTGTTTGAAGCTGAGTGCAATGTCATTTGGGGACCGGTCGAGGGGGGTGTCATTTTCAATGTTGGTCAAACAAGTCTTGCGAACCTTAGCTGCATGGGACATGATGAAATACTGTACATGAAACCCACAGATCTCATCCTTCTCTTCTCTCCACATCCATGGGGGGCCTACCTTGCTTTGACGGGGCTTTCCCGGCGCGGCCGGGAGTCGTGTTTGAAGACGTTCCAAGTGCTCAGCCCCTGAGGGTCACGATCCTCGCGATGCACAAGCTGGGCAGTCATTTACACTTAGGATCACAAGGGTGTGGCTCAACAAAACATCCGCTACTTCAGAAAATCTACCTTTCTCCCTGCCAGAAGGATTGCCCAAGGATGAGGAGGACTTCCACCAGCTGGGAGGTAATATGTTGCTTCTGACTGAGGCTTTGTATCCTTCACATAGTTTATGGGCACCAGTGTGATTCAACCAAGAGCCATCACTCAATTGGCACATGCCGAAAGTGCCTTGCGAAGAGTGTCAATTTTCAGCTTGGGACTTTGTGCCTTGCCGGACTCTTGGCATCGCTTGTTGCTGGGCCGCCCTGGGCCAATATCGAATACTGTACCATAGAATATGCTCTCTGAAAAAATCACATGGAAGTGCACAATTGCCCTTGGAAGACCATTTTCCTTTACAAACAGGTGGTTGTCCACTTCCATGATTGTTTCAGGGAGGGTCTCCGATTGTTTCGCTCACAGGGACGATAAGATGAGCCGCCATGTATTTAACAGGATCTGGTGGATCGAAGCACAAAATCCCGGATCGACACTGGACACTTGCTTAGTGCGAAGACACTTGGGAGACCAAGAGCTGCCAGCGGCAGTGCCAAAAGATGAGGACCGCAAAACATATACGATTCACTGACTTGGTGGTCCCCAACATCATGAGCCAATTTGAACTTGGAGCTAGGACTGGGCCATATTGAGCAAAAACTATACACTAAATCTTACTGGGTGCCGGGGCGGGATGATGCGGGATGATACAATTTCATGATTCAGCAAGTGTTCACGATGTTCAAGTAATTTTATTTCCACTGTTCTTTTACTATCAGGTGTTCAAGGTGCACAAATAAAGTAACTTCGAGAAATCCTACTTGGATGAGGCACTGTTGCCGGGAACGCGCATTCTCAGCCAACCAACGCCTGCCTCAACATCATTTCATTCCCCTGATCAACATTCAGAAGCACACAATCCAACTCTGACCCTGCAACCCTCCGATGGGCCATGTTGTGGGTGAAGACTCTCCATGCAGTGGCTCAGCATATTGGAAGTCCGGATTTGGGCCGTCCGCGATGTTGCGAAGTGGACTGGGCACGGGTTCGGTTGTCCTCTGAAAGGTATCTCAGTCATTGTTGAAGCAGTGGGTCTCACATATCTAAAACAGACGACTAAGCCGAGCTGGGACGTTTCGTTGGGATGTGGGAAGGCCCCGTGACAGAGCGGTAGGGAACACTTTGCCGCAGGACATGTCTCGATAAGTTCTTTTTCCCCAAACAGTTTACTGTTGGGGTTCTATCTTAGAAAGAAAAGAGCTGGCCACACTCACTGGCCGCGCCCCTGAACTCCGTGGCTGGGCTCCGTGGCTGGGCTCTATGGCTGGGCCTTGTCCTCCTCTTGTCCTCCTCTTGGCCGCGCCCCTGAAGTCTGTCAACTCTGTGGCTGGGCTCCGTGGCTGGGGTCTGTGGCTGGGCCTTGTCCTCCTCTTGTCCTCCTCTTGGCCGCGCCCCTGAACTCTGTCAACTCTGTGGCTGGGCTCTGTGACTGGGCCTTGTCCTCCTGTCCTCCTCTTGGCCGCGCCCCTGAACTCTGTCAACTCTGTGGCTGGGCTCTGT